GCTCTTCTCACTTGCTGTGCCCTGAGGCTCTCGGTGTCTTCATCTGTGAAATGGACTAGTCTCCCCTGCCTTTTCTCTCAAAGGGCTATTGTGAGGATCATGCAAAAAACTGGACATCAGAGGACTCAGAGAAAAGGATAATGTGATTGTATCAGACCAGGAGGTATGGCAGGGCTTTGACAGAGCTGTTTAAAACCCAAAGGAAAAGGCATCAGCTGAGCTGAAATGGACCCCAAACTCATAAAAACCATTGTGCTTAAACCATCCCCTAATCTGAGGGCCCCTTAGCTCCAACCCTGAAGCCAAACATCCAGGGTTTCTGTGAGCCCTGTGGACCCCTGCTGGCCTCTCATTTGTTAATGGCACAGCTGTCCTTTAGTAGCCTTCAGGGCCAGATAGGGCTGGGGTGGGGTGGGGCAGGCCTGCCTCATTCCTCCATCATTGTGGGTTCAGACAGGGACCAGCTCAGTAAATAAGAGCGAAGTACAAACACAGGGCACAGCTGAGTAGGATCAACCTCAACCACTGAACGTTGGTGCCCCACAGGTCACAAGTGGCATCTCATCCAACTGTCCTCCTGACTCACAGAAAACTGAGGTCAGGACAGTGAAGGTGAACTGCCCACGGTCACACGGCCAGTGAGAAGCGGAGCTTGGTCTCCTGATTCCCTCCCACCCTTTGGGGGCAAGTCTTGGCAATGACCCACTTACCAGCAGAGCTCACTGGGCAAAGGCAGGGGCCTCTCTTGTCTGGCCACACGGCTCAGCCCTTTGACCACGTGGTTTCTGGGACACCTGCAAAAGAATTCTCAAAGCCAGTCAACCCATCCTAAAGGATGAAAACTCCTACTCAGGCTTTGGGGCCAAATGAAACCACCACCTCCTCCAGGAAGCCTTCCCTGACCCCTGATAATCGCCCCCCCCAACCACCACGGGACCACCCAGGCCCTGAACTTACGGGCAATTTAAGGAGCTGAGTCCCATTGTCCTGACCATCACTGTTCAGACCTCACTGCCCTGCCCTCTAATGCTAGATCAGAGTTAAATGCCCTCATGGCTTCTTGCTTTTCCCTTCTAGCACTTGTCACAGTTTATTTGTGGTCTTCAAGTAAGCTAATCTGAGAGGCCTGTCCTGATCACTATGTCTAAGGTGGTACTGATCACGAAGGTGCTCTGATCTAAGGTGACCCAACCAGCAACCCCCTCACTTCTGTTTTCATCCCGCGATGATTTCCTTTGTGTTTACACCGCTGTCCCCAGCCCCAGAATGTCTCCCAGTGTAACCCCCAATATCCAGCCCCTTGCAGGGCTTGGGAAGGCCCTCCGAAACTATTTGTTAAAATAACTGTGACTACAACAGTGGACAAAACAAAGTCCCTCCCTCCTGGAGCCTACATTTCAGCGGGGGAGACACGCTGTAAAAAAAAAGACAAAAATAAATAATAATTAGTGAATTTTTAAATTAATTAAATAATAAATAACGTAAGGACCGGTCTTGACAAGGGCTATGGAGAGAAGCAAGCAGGGTCCTGAGATGGGGAAGGGCCATTCTCCGATGGTGGTCGAGGAGAAGCGGGGGTGGGGTGGGAGGAGAACACAGATGTTTCCTCGAGGAGTGGCCTCAGCTCCGGGGCGCGGAGAGGGGATCCGGAGCCCACCGAACTGTCTCCGCACCCCCTCACGGGGACAGGCGTCTTCCACCCACCTCCCCACTCCAGGGATGCGAGGCCCGGACTTCAACCCCGGCGGGAAGCCGGTGCACCGCGTTTTTCTGAATTCTTTTGTTAGAGGAGCGGCGGGCTGGGGCGTGGGACTCCCTGGCCGGTGGCCGCCGCTGGGAGCCCCTAACCCGCTGTCGCCCTGAAACAGGGTCGCCTCACCGGGAACTCCCCGGCGAGCGCCGCAGACTCCGGGTGCGGCGGCCGCCTCGGTTTCCCCATCGCGCACGGAGCTGTCCCGCCACGTCCCCGCGGGCCACGCCCTCCCGGAGGCCGCCGCCTCCCGAGCCCGCCGGGCCCGCTCTCACCTCCGCGCCCCCGAAGCCCAAGAGGACGACCCGCGGGGTGGGTTGCGGCCGCGGCCAGGGGCGATTCCGGCTCGGGACCCCACGCCTCCGCCCGGGCCGCTAACTTGGCCACGGGAGCCGAAAGACCCCGCTTGGGCGGCTCGAGTTACCGCCCCCGCCCCTCCCCGCCCACGACTCACTAGGCCTCGCGATCCGCGAAGCCGCCCCGCGATCCATGCCCGAGGGAAACTGAGGCCCGACAGGCCGTGACCCGCCTGAGCCACAGTGCTGGTCAGTGGCGGGAGGCCTCGAACGCAGAGTCCCACCTCAGGCCGTCCGGGGGCCTTGGACCCAGTCCACCTCCCAGAGAACTCGGAGACCTTCCCTTCCCCCTCCAGTCCCCCTCTCCCCGCCCGGCCCACTTCTCCCGCAGAGCCAAGCCTGGGACGGCCTCGGCTCAGACGCCTCCTCTGGGCGGGCTCCTATCCAGCCCGCGAGGCCCGGCCCAGCTTCCCAGCCACCCAACCCGGCACCTGGCGTCGCTCGGACCTCTGCTTCTGGGGATTATCCATTTCTGCTTCCGCCACTCCCGCCGGCCTGAAACGCAACTTCAGCGCCCAGACTCTGCCTGGAGTCAGTCGACAGCTAGGCCTGCAGTGAAGGTTGCAGGAGTGCACAACCAAACGCAGGAGGCTAGGGTTTCCCAGCAGCCCTGGAAGCCGGTGAGCTCAGAACACCTGCCCATGAATTTGCTGGTCCCCACGTCAGAGTTCTGCCCTTGCAGTTCCTGCAGCCTAGAATGCGCTTCCTTCTCAAGCCTGCCCCTCGGCTCTAACTCCTCAGGGCTCCTTCACACCGTTTAGGTCTCAGCTCAAATGTCCCCTCCCTGGCCTTGAGAAAGTAGCCTACCTGCAGGTCTCTGTCACATCCCTGGGTTGTATTTTCCTTATAGCACTAACCACTTATAAGAAAAGCTTCCCTACACTCATGCTTTTATTTCCTGTTTATTATGTCTCCCCCATTAACTTTTATTCAGTTAATAATAGAAACCATGGGCTTCCCTGGTGGCGCAGTGGTTAAGAATCCACCTGCCAATGCAGGGGACATGGGTTTGAGTCCTGGTCGGGGAAGATCCCACATGCCGCAGAGCAACTAAGCCAGTGTGCCACAACTACTGAGCCTGCGAGCCACAACTATTGAAGCCTGCGCGCCTAGAGCCCATGCTCTGCAGCAAGAGAAGCCACCGAAATGAGAAGCCCGTGCACCACAATGAAGAGTAGCCCCCACTCGACACAACTAGAGAAAGCCCGCCCACAGCAAGGAAGACCCAAGGCAGCCGAAAAATAAAATAAATAAATTTTTAAAAAGTAATAGCAAGCATAATAAATGTGTTAGAAGGCAATAAATTTTGTGGAAAATATAGACCGGGGCAAGGAGACTGGGAGTTGGGGCAGTAGGGCTGTTGCAATTTTCAAAAGAATGGTCAAGGTAGGGCTCACTGAGAAGGTGACATTTGGGAAATACTTGAAGGAAACGAGGGAGCCAGTCGTGCGAAAATCTGGAGGAAGAGTATTCCAGGCAGATGGAACAGCTAGTGCAACGGCCCAGAGGCCTGTTGTGTTTGAGGAACTGCAAGGGGGGGCGGGGCAGGGAGGAGCAGCAGGAGGCGGGGTCAGAATGTGTGGCCTGGGGCTCTGTAAACCTGTGAGGGCTGTTACTCCAGGCTGAAATGAACACGGTCTTGAGCTATGTTTTAAAGCAGCGGTCCCCAACCTTTTTGTCACCAGGGACCAATTTCGTGGAAGACAATTTATCCACGGAAGTGGGGAGCGGGGTCGGTGGGGGGCTGGTCAGGCGGTGATGCGAGCGACGGGGAGCGGGGAGCGGCAGATGAAGCCTCACATGCTTGCCCGCCGCTCACCTCCTGCTGTGCGCCCTGGTTCCTAACAGCCCGTAGACCGATACCGGTCCGCGGCCCGAAGGTTGAGGACCCCTGTTTTAAAGGATTTCTCTGGCTGCTAAGGAGAGAATAAATGTGGGTGGAAGCAGACCGGTGAGGAGGCTGCTGGAGTAATACAGGCAAGATGTGATGGGGGCTGGGAGAATAGAGAGAGGTGGCCAGATTCAGGATGGGTTTTGAAGGTAGACAGTGCAAGGTTTGCAGAGAGGTTGGATGTAGGGAGTGAGGGAAAGAAGAGGCAAGGAGGACTCCAGCGTTTTGGCCTGAGCACCTGGAAGGAGAGTTGCCATTACCTGAGACATGGAAGTGGCAGGTGTCTGGGGCCAGTTATGTTTGAGATGCCCAGTGATCATCCAAGTGAAGGTGCCAAGAATAAAGTGCTTGGTACCTAGCGGTTGCTCAATAAGTATTTGATGAATGAGAGAGGAAGGAATATGCAAAGTGCCTGGATAAGAATAATGGGTGGTCCAAGTGTCACGTAAGGAAGGAGAGTCTCCTGGCTTTGAAGGAACTGTGTCCTCCACCTGGTTTGCTTTCTCCCACCCATCCTCCTCCTGGTGCCACTACTGTTTTTGAGCGGCTTACTACGGGCCCTGCTTCAGGGCATTCTCCCATTTTTCTTAAAAAAGCCCCCAGCAGGTATTCACGCCACAGCTCTTTACTGAGCATCATCTACAGTGCACGATCCTCGCCTTCAGGGAACCCAGCAGAGGTGAAAGGACTAGCTTCACGTGAAGCCGCGGTTGGCTCGTGCCTGCCTCGGGGGCGCGCAGAGCCGGAGATCGAAGGAGGTGGGGCTTGGGGAGGTTCCGAGGGCTTACTGGGCCGGTAGAGGGCGGGGCAGGACGTTGCTAGGGGGATTCTGTTAGGTCCTCCGGGGGAGGTTAGGCGCAGTGAGGCCCCGCCCCTCTGGAACGCCGGAAGCGAATCAGGTGACTGCGGTGGTGGCTGCTTCCGGAGACCGAAGCAGGCGGCGTGGAAGGGGTGAGTGTCAAATGTGGACGACTCTGGTTAGGGTCCCCGTGCTGGGCCGCTGGACCTGCGGTCTTTGGGGACGGACCTGGAGGGATTACGGAGCCTGGTCCCGGCCCGCCGCTTCCGTTCTTCCTGGGCGTCCTCGAGCCTGTCGCTGCCTCTCTCTGACCCCAGTCTGGCAGAGGGCCGCCCTTGGGCGCTCGGGGTTCCCAGCAGTGCAGAAGGGGTGCGGTCTAACGTCCAAGATACCTTGTTTAGTATTTCCTCCGGAAGAACCCAGGCTCGGGGAAGTGATGGCTGGGGTAGAGGGGGGGAGCGGTGAGAGGGCTTGGGGACCCAGTGTGGGATCCACACCCAAGGTTAAGGGCGGCAGGGCTAGCCAGGCAGTGGTGACGCCAGTGCTTTTCTAACGTTTCTTAGCTTCCAGAGCCCAACATATAGAGCTGGTAAAAGCAGAGCAGATCTGGTCAGGTCCTGAGACGCTGAGTCCAGAGCGATGTTGCTGAAGACAGGTACCTACACGGATGGGGGTGGCTTTGGGAGGGTAGGTGACCAGTTGGGGGTGGGAGCTACCTGGAGGAAGTTCCAGTCCTGTGGCATCTGGGCCTCCTTCCCTGATGTGGGTATGTGGGGAGACATGTTCCTCTCATTCTTGGAAGTGGGCCAGGAAAGGAGGAGGTGCTCCCCACCTAGGAATCAGTTCCCTTCCAAAGAGGCCTCTTCCTTGCGCACCCCCTCTACCCCAAAGCACAGAGGCCCTATCTTATTAACATCAACATGTAATAAGAACAGCCCTGTAAAGTCAGTACAGTGATTCCATCTTGCAGATAAAGAAACTGAGGCCCTAGAGGGAAAGTGAGCTGGCTGGGTGCAGGTCCAACCGGCTGGCCTCTTAAGCCCTTCTGAAGCCTCTTGGGTGTCTGTGGAGAACAAAGAGCCCTGGATGGGACTCAGGAGACCTGGAGTCTGGCTACACTGTACTGTCAGGTTCTGTGTGAATGGAGTGGGGGGAGCTGGTCAGGGTGTAGAAGGGATATGACCTCAGGGTGTTAGTTTTTGATAATTCCAGCACTGCTGTGGTAACAGCAAAGTGGGAATCCGGGCCTCAAACACGTTGCCCCACCCCAGGCACCGTCCGCCCACTCACAGCACTCCTGGAGCCAGGAGTTGCAGGAAGAGCCCATTCCACCTTAAGCACGAGAGTCTAGTTCCCCTAATGTGCAGGCCAGCAGCCTCTGCAGGGCTGGGCAGCATGTGGATGGGGTGGGGTGAGGGCTGGAGCTATAGGAGCCACTCACAGTTATCCTTCCAACCCCCTGCAGTGCTCTTGCTGGCCTTGGTGGCCCAGGTGCTGGTTCTGGAGAACGGGCTCCTGCGGAAGCCACCCATGGGCTGGCTGGCCTGGGAACGCTTCCGCTGCAACACTGACTGTAACGAGGACCCAAAGAACTGCATCAGGTGAGTAAGGTCGGCACCACCCAACAGGCTTGCCTAGGGCCCTCACAGAGTCGGAGCAGCGAGTGGGGGTCAGCTAGGAAAGAGGGCAGGGTTAGAGCCCCCCATCCCAGAGAGAAAGCAACCAGAGGTGACTTCTGAGACCTCTGACACTCAGCTTCATGACCAGCTTGGGGCCTCTGTGGTGACCTCAGGCCTGTGGGGCAGGGACCCTGTGGTGGACGCAGCCACTGAGATGATGGAAAGGAGGTAACAGTTAAGGGCCAGGCCGGACCCCGCGTGCTTCCCACTGGCCCGGTTCTGCTTCTTGGCTTGGGGGCCCCGTCACTCCTCTTGCTCCACCCTGCTCATGGCTCATGACATAATCCTTGGTACCCCTCACACTTGTTACCTGGCTTAGTCCTCAGCTGACAGCAAGGCCATGGTACTTGTAGGCTGGATTCACACTCAGAGCATCTAAGAAGTTTGAAAAGCTCTGAGGAAGGGGGGTGGGGTTAAGGTTAGGCCCGTGCTGGGCCACTGAGCAGCCCTGTCCCCTACCCCTCGCCAGTGAGCGGCTCTTCATGGAGATGGCTGACCGGCTGGCGCAGGATGGATGGCGGGACCTGGGCTATGAATACCTTAACATCGATGACTGCTGGATTGGTGGACGTGATGCCAAAGGCAACCTGGTGCCTGATCCCAAGCGCTTCCCCAACGGCATGGCCTTCCTGGCTGACTACGTGAGCCCCACCCCAGCCCTGCCCCTTGGCCTGTGGGCCAGACCGCTCTTTCCACCCCATCCTACTTAGGGCTCACTTCTGTAATCCCTGCTTGAGAACTCACAGTCTGGTGGAGGAAATAGATACATGGACAGGTAGTTTTGACCCACTGTAGTGGGTGAGAGCAAGGAAGGACATCTTATTCAGCCTGGGATTTCAGGAAGGTTCTCCGGAGGAAGCAATTCTTGAGCTGATACTGGAGAGATGGCATTCAAGGCAGAGGGAATGGCAGAAGCAAATGCCTAGAGGCCAGAAACAGCCCATGCAAGGTGTGTGTGTTGGAGGGAGGGGAAGTATCATGGTTGGCAGAGGCCAGGCCAGCAAGCTGAGACCCCTTCCTTTGGGCTTTAGGAAGTCATTGAAGGTTTTTATTTATTTATTTATTTATTATATCTTTAAAATTAATTTATTTATTTTTGGCTGCATTGGGTCTTCGTTGCTGTGAGCAGGCTTTCTCTAGTTGTAGTGAGCGGGGGCTACTCTTTGTTGGGTGTGCAGACTTCTCATCGTGGTGGCTTCTCTTGTTGCAGAGCACGGGCTCTAGGCTCATGAGCTTCAGTAGTTGTGTCATGCGGGCTCAGTAGTTGTGGCGCATGGGCTTAGTTGCTCCGTGGCATGTGGGATCTTCCTGGACCAGGGCTCGAACCTGTGTCCCCTGCATTGGCAGGCAGATTCTTAACCATTGCATCACCAGGGAAGTCCCATCATTGAAGGTTTTAATGGGGCCTGGTCAGATGTGCCTGGGAGGCGGCTCCTTGAGGTCCTGCCTGAGCCCAGTGTGTTGTCAACCCCCCACAGGCTCATTCCCTGGGCCTGAAACTGGGCATCTACGCAGACATGGGCAACTTCACCTGCATGGGTTACCCAGGCACCACGCTAGACAAGGTGGTCCAGGATGCTCAGACCTTCGCCAAGTGGAAGGTGGACATGCTGAAGCTGGATGGCTGCTTCTCAACCCCCGAGGAACGGGCCGAGGGTGGGTCCCACAGCTGGCTGGGGGCCATTAGGTAGACAGGGAGGGGTGGCCATGGAAGGCCCCACAGTGCCCATCTGTCTGTATGGCCCCTAGGGGGTAGCATTTCCCAATTCCCCTCACCCAGGGCCTAGGGGGATCTTGGCTCCCAGGCTCCCTAAAGATGGGTTGGTACCATGCCCCTACCTGGGAAGTGTTTGCAGCTCTGGGTACAGGGGAAGCACCTCCTTGAACCGTAGTTTCCTCCCATTTGGTGGGAGGTTTGGGCTGAGGCCCCAGATTTCATCTTGTGTCTCTTCATCCTAAAATGTGAGGGTTGGACTTCTCCAGGGTACCCCAAGATGGCTGCTGCCCTGAATGCCACAGGCCGCCCCATCGCCTTCTCCTGCAGTTGGCCAGCCTATGAAGGGGGCCTCCCCCCAAAGGTAAGCCATTCTGTGCACCCACCTGGCAATGCTCCTCATACCCAGGCCTCCTTGCCTTCTATGCAGTCAGGGCTCCTCTCATCATAGTTGCTCACATGCTGATTTGTAGGTCTAGGAAAGGGTCATAAGTACCTGAGGGGGCCTGAGCTAGCCCAGGGTCTTAGAGGAGACACTTGTCAGGTGGGCTGAAGGGATGGGTATCCAAGACATGGGAACCATATGTTATGTGCTGACACAGCACCCAACAAGCAGTCAGAATCCTGGGTTTTGCCGAGTGGGCTAGGAGATCCAGAAGGCTGGTGAGGCCAGGCAGGTGGGGCCTGGCCTCTGAAAGGCCTTGTGGGCCTCTCACCAGGGACCCTTCGGCATGTAGGGTGCTAGAAAGGGTGGAATCAGACTTGCAGACCTGAGGGAGAACCCTGGCAGAGGGTGGGACTCACTGAGAGAACACGGGGGTGGGGGTGTGGTAGGGAAGGTTATGGTACGCCAGCCTGGGTCCATACCCGGGGCTTGGCCCCAGCTGGCGTGAGAGGGAGGGGTCGGCTCCTGGCACCAGCGCGCATGGAGGAGAGGCCGGGCAGCCCCAGAGCAGGGCCACTCCCTCCGAGGCCTTCCTTATCCTGAACACGCTCAAGGTGTGTTCTCTTCCCCCTTCCCTACCCTCTGTGTCTCCTGCTGAGGCTCCCCAGCCCCTGTGCAGGGCTCCAGGCATTAGAGTATGACTCTGGTGTTGGACTCTGCCTTCCCCCCAAATCCAGGTGAACTACACCCTGCTGGCGGACATCTGCAACCTCTGGCGCAACTATGGCGACATCCAGGACTCCTGGAGCAGCGTGCTCTCCATCCTGGACTGGTTTGTGACCCACCAGGACATTCTGCAGCCGGTGGCAGGCCCTGGGCACTGGAACGACCCAGACATGGTACCAGCATGGAGAGGGATGACCCAGGGCCCACTGCCCTATGCTGTCTTCCTGGACGCTCATTGCCAGGTTCTAGATCAGCATATCAGAAATGTGTCCTTGAACCAGCCGTGCTGGACTTGTCTTGGGCGCTTACAATTCTGTTCCCAGGGCCCCACCCCACCTCTTGGATCAGAATGTTCAGAGAGGGCCTGGGAATGCCCATTGTTAAGTCTTCCCAGGCGGTTCTGATGTGTCTTGAAACTTGATCTGTAGGGACTCTTGTGTAAGACATTATTCCTCCATAGGGTGAAGATCACAGATAGTCCACACTCTCTTGCCACCCTTCCCTAGACTCTTTGCCAGGTCTGCCTCTGACCCCTCTCTCAATGCTCTGTAGTGTTACCCTCCACAGGCAGAACTGGCCTCTCATACCTACCTCACTCATAGCCCTGATCACTTAAATTTCTTTGCAATTTATCTTACAGTTTTATAGCTATCTCTTTAGTCAACGAGTATTTACCGTCAGTGATGATTATAATAATTACAAATACTAGGCCAGATGGAGAGGTGCCTGGAGAAACAGAAATTGACCTGCTTTAGAGTTCCAGCTCCAGCTCTGCCACTTACCTTGGGCACGTGACTTAACTTTTTCTGTGACCCAGCTTTGTCAATTGGAAAATGGAAATAATAATAGTAGCTGCTATATATGTAGGGTTGTTTTGAGGGTTAAAAGGATGACCCTTTATTTTTGTTTTATTTTTTTTTTAGGCCAGCACATGGCTGATGTTGCAAACAGGACTCAGCTCCCTGGGGCTGGAGGGGAGCTGACCTTCATTGACCTATTAGGCACCAGGCCCAGGGCCAAGTCCTTTTTTAAAAATTATTTTATTTTATTTTTTGGCCATGCCACATGGCATGCGGGATCTTAGTTCCCTGACCAGGGATCAAACCCACTCCCCCTGCAGTGGGAGCGAGGAGTCCTAACTGCTGGACCACCAGGGAAGTCCCCAGAAGGATGACCCTTTAAATGCTTGGCATGGTTTGGCACATATACAGTGCTTAGTTAAATTGGTGTCACTAAGTACACAAGAGTGTTGAGTTAGCAGTAATCGTTTGTGTCCTGTTGGTGTACTGGTTGCCCTGAGGACAGGAGTGCCCGTTGGTGTAGTCAGCTGTCGTTAGGGCAGGTGGGTGGCTAGTGGCAGGAGCAGAGACTCTGTCCAGGTCTGGTTTACTACCATCCTGGCTGTATTTCTTGACTTGCATATTCCAGTTTATAAACGCTTTTGGCAACAGGATCCATTGGATCCTCTGAACAACCTGTGACATGGTCAGAGCATATTATCACCCCCATATTCTTGATGGAAGAAAAAACCTGAGGCTCTGAAAAGTGACTTGACCCACCCCAAGGCCACGCTGCTGGGGAATGGTGTTTGTAGAACCAGGGCCCACACCTGGCCGTCCTCCCCCATCTCTGTCTTCTTTTGCTACAAGTTTAGGGTTGGTCCCCACGCCCACCGCCCTGAAGAGGGCAGAGCTGAGCAATCCTCTTTTCTGCCCCCAGTTGCTCATTGGGAACTTTGGCCTCAGCTTCGAGCAAGCCCGGGCCCAGATGGCCCTGTGGACGGTGCTGGCGGCCCCCCTCTTCATGTCCACGGACCTGCGTACCATCTCCGCCCAGAACATGGACATTCTGCAGAATCCACTCATGATCAAAATCAACCAGGACCCCTTAGGCATCCAAGGACACAGGATTCTCAAGGTACTGGGGGTGTGGGAGCAAGGAAGGGAGGCTGAGAGACTGGGCTCCCCTGGAAACAAGTCTGCAGGCCAGAGGTTCAGGGGTCGGGACTGGGCCTCTGAAATCCACTCAATCCCTCCTAGTTGCATTCAGTCGAAGTCTCTACTGGGAGCTGCTTCGACTGTCCCTCACTTGCCTGGGTAAGAGCAGGGCCAGAGCAGGACAGCTCGTGGGATTTGGGGAAGGGAGCCATCACCACACATGCACACGGGATCAGTGTGGCCCCTCGGTTTGGAACTACAAAACTTCTACACAAGTCTATGATGGCTGGCAGAGAAGTAGGGCTTGCCCTCAGAGTTTAGGAGTTGTTTGAGCCATGGAGTACAGCTACTACTAGTACTAGTGTAGACTAGCTGTTGAGCACCTACTGTGTGCTAGACATTCTAGATACATTTTCTCAGAAGGTCGATGCTCCTTCCCCGTTTTACAAATGAGGAAACTTAGACTTGAAGAGTCTCAGTAACTTTATACCAAGGCCACACCGTTGGTAAGCGGCACAACAGGACGAGATGCCGGTAGTGGCACCTCAAAGCTTGTGCTCGTTGCCCAGATCCTTGCCTCTCTAGTAAATCTACACCAATATAGAAAGCACCTGCTGAACTGGTGATGCCCAGAGGCGATAACTAATCCTGCCAGAGGGGCGGATGGTGGAGCCAGGCCCAGGGGCCTTCTGGAGGCTGTGGCTTCACCCTCCTGGCTGCTCAGGGCAGAGCTCATCGTTCTAACTGGACGGTGCCCTCCAGTCCAGTGCCAGGGGCTGTCCACGTCTGTCTCTCCTGTTATCCTGTAAGCTCTCTGAGGCGGGACCTCATGCAGCATTTATCTGTGTCCTGGCGTGGGGCCTGGCACAGAGTAAGTGTCGGGGAGCGTCTGCTGAGTCAGGGAAGGAAGGAAGGAAGGTGGAGTTAGACGAGTTGCGTGCTGGAGGGCTGTGGTTTCCCCTCCAAGCTTCTGCCTGACACGGAACTGTGGGCTGGCGAGACCCAGAGCTCAAGGGCGGGTTGGGAAGGGAGCTTCAGGGCCTGCTGAGCAGGGACCCCAGCCAGTAGCCATGTTCTGCGCCAGGAGAAATCCCACATTGAAGTGTACGTGCGGCCCCTGGCCAGTGAGGCCAGTGCTATAGTCTTCTTCAGCCGCAGGACAGATATGCCGTATCCCTACCGGACCTCCCTTGCCCGGCTGAACTTCACCAGCTCCAAGGTGTATGAGGTGAGTGTCCTGCTACCTGCAGCGCTTTGGGTTTCCCTGAGGGTGTTGCTGGGTCCTACTCACACGGGGGCCCCTTCACTCACACACCGTCCCCTAAGCCGTGGGCCTTGGGTCCTCTGGCTGGTGCTGTGCTCTGCACTGGTGTTTTCAAGCTACATAAACGAACTACCGTGTGTAAATGAGTCCCGTCAGCCCCCGAGGCTGCGTGTTTCCCCTCTTCAGTCTTGCTGGCACATTTCTCAGGTTCTTGGTGGGCTGGCCCCTCACCACTGCCAGTACTTGGGCATCTGTTGGCTTTGCCAGAGGGGAAGTCATGGGGACTCAGGCTCCCACTTCTGTAGGGCATACTGCAGACTCAACACAGGCCAAAGTGCAGGCTCTTACATCCCCTGGAGTGGGGGGCGGTGGGGGTTTGTCCCTGTGCAGACATTCTTAGGGTGGCATAGTGCTGTCCTCCCCCCTGCAGGCCCAGAACGTCTACACGGGTGACATCATCAGTGGCCTCCGGGATAAAACCAACTTCACATTGATCATCAACCCTTCCGGGGTGGTGATGTGGTACCTGTATCCTATCAGGAAGCTGGGGACGCCCGTGTGACAGGCTGTGGCAGCACCACTGAGCCCAGACCACGGAGGTTCCACGTGCTGAGGGCCAGTAGGTGGGGTCTTCTGCTACCCGTCAGACCCAAAGTGCAATCTCAGGGCCGGGTTCTACGCCCTGCACAAGTGTGAAGTCTCTTGGAAACTTGGGGAGACTTCCTGTGGCCTCTGGCCACTACCTCATCTGTTCAGCCCCATGGATGTTGCTGAACAACTCGGCCAGCCTCCTCAGCCCCCATAGGCAGAGGCACCGATACTTGTCAGGATTCTAGCCTCTGACCTTCTTTTTACTGACTCTGAAATCAGGATTTGGAATTTTCTTAAAATTAGGAGTGGAGCTCTGACCTCTTGTCGGGAAGTCCCATGAATTATGTGATCGACTTTCCTGCCCGGAGAAGGCCTTACAGGCTGACACTGCCTGGGAGTGACCTTGGTTCCTTCGGGTCACCAATAAAGCTATTCTTTAGTCAAGTAGTTGTAATATGGACCTGGGGCCAGGGGCTGATCAGGTGGGGACTCTGGGTGGCACTACACAAGGTGCTGGTTTCAGATTTCACCTCGCATGGAAGATGTATGGCCTCTTCTGGCTCCTCATTCCACCGCGACCTGCAGACTGTACTTCTGGCCATGCCAGGCTTGCCTCCCGCCCCAGTCATCCCTGCTGTGCGCAGCATCATGGTGGTGGTAACGGCACAGTGAGGCGGACTAGTGATGGTCCCAGGCCCTCTTCCCCACCCCATTCAGACGTTACAGGGTCTGCCAGCCACTACCCGCACTCAGCAGCCCCTCTGCTGCACAGTGAAAGGCCCTTGACCTGCTAAGGAACGTTGCGTTACTGTCTTCAGCCTCTTTCAGCTCCTCTCCCCCTTCCTGACAGGGCTTCGCTCACTGACGCTCCTGGGCTGGGTGCAGCCGAGGGCAGTCAGCTCTGCCTTTCTCCCACAGGGCTTGTGTAGCTTGTCCTCTGCCCACCAGTGCCCCCAGCTCCTCCCTTAGTTTCTCCTCTCCTAACCTGGCTGCAGAGGAGTTTCAGATCCCTCAGCTATGTGCAAAGAAAGGTCCAGGGGCTCTTTGTGTCTTACGATATATATCCTGCCCCTCCTCGTAGGGAAAAGGGTATTAAAGTAAAGAATGGCAGGTTCTTGACTGCCTGCCTTTGGTTCCTGTTTCCCAAGCCCTCTTTTTAGCTAAGGCCTCAGGGCACCTGTCTTCCCTAGTGGCTCTTGTTCCCCTCTGGAAAGCTGGCAGCAGACCAGGCTACGTACGTTCTCCTTGTGCTTTGAATGTGGGAGCACCCAGTGCCTCAGGCTTTGCATGGTCCTGCCCTGTGGGAACTCTTCTGGGTGGATCTCCCATGTTCCCTCCCTCAGGGTTTAAGGTCGTTGTATTTGGAGTATGTTATAAAGAACTCACAAACATACATTTTATAGTGTAATTTAAGATTTCTGGAGCTTCACTGATTGAGTCTGGGGTCATCAGAGGAAGCTCCCTTTCCCCAGTTGGTGTCTTGAGGCTGTGGGTCACTTAGGAGGACAGAAGCCTACCTCATCCCAGGCCTCTGCCCTTTGAGGTCTGTCACCCTATGCATAGCTCCAGCTTCGGGTCTTGGTCATAGTGCTGGGCAAGCCAAGCGGAATGGTTTCGGGCAGAAACACTTCTTTTGCTAGCCCCAGGAAAGAAATCTCTTCCACCCCCCCTGGGATGTGGTGGAGACCACCAGACTTGGGAGTTGGGGCCAAGGACCAGCATGGATTTGACCAGTCAGTTCCTTTGCCTTCCAGACACAGAGATAGTTACATGTCTTTACTTGCTGTATAACTTTATCCTGAGGGTACCTGACTGGTTCTATCACGTTAGCCTTTATTCTCTTAAGGCACACTCTATCTTCCAGGACATTGTTTTACTCCCTTCCGCCCAAGGCCAGTATGGGACTAAATTAATTTTTACCAGTTCAAGGCAGCCTTGTCTGGACCCAAGGGTACCCCTTCTGTTTTTTGAAAAAAAAACTTTATTATAGAAATTTTTGAACATAAAAATAAAATGGTAAGTGAACCTGCATGTACCCATCACCCAGATCCAACAACCATCAACACGTGCCATTATTTCATATCTCTCGTCCCACACATACTTTTGCACGTAAGCTGGAGTATTTGACAGCAAATCAAAGAAAACTCTAACCACCACTATGGAGCTCTAACAGGCAATAGGGTCTTGAATATACAATTTTCTTAGCCAACAAAATAAAAGTTTTAATCTGATAACCAGGCTGCGTTCAGTTTTTGCCAGGTGTGTTGGGTTTTTGTTTGTTTCTGTTTTGTTTGTTGTTTTGTTTGTTTGTTTGGCTGCACCCTACAGCTTGCGGGATCTCAGTTCTCAGACCAGGGACTGAACCCAGGCCACAGCAGTGAAAGTCTGGAATCCTCACCCCTGTGGCCACATGGTGGGGACACACATGTGTCCCCACAACAACTGGTGGGGACTCCCACCAGTTGTCTCAAAAATATTTTTCCATAGTTTATTTGAATCAAAGTCCAAGCAAAGGGTCAACAAAAATGGTCCCGTAAGAACCACCGAAAGTTTGCTCTCTCTAAGACCAATGAAAAGTCTGCCATATATAATCAGAATCAACTTTAAACTCTGGAAATTAACCAAAGGCTTTCAGTAACCCAGAGAGTGTTCAGTCAAGAAAGACAGTAGAATCTTGGTAAGAACAGAAAGCTTTTTAGAGTTTTTAACTTACCCTAGTACCAGATTTTAAGTCAGCTATTTAAAATACGTTCAAAGAGCTAAAGGAAACCATGTCTAAAGAACTAGAGGAGAAAAAAAAAGAGAACTAGAGGAGGTAAGAATGGTGTCTCACCAGATAGAGAATATCAGTAAAGAGGCAACTTATAGAAAGGAACCAAATAGAAATTCTAGAGTTGAAAAGTACAATAACTGAGAGAAAAATTTCACTAGAGGGGCTCAGCAGACATGACCAAGGAGAAAAAAAACCAGCAAATTTGAAGATAGGTCCGTTGAAATTAACCTATCCAAGGAATAGAAAGGAAAATGAAGAAGAATTAACAGGGGCTCAGAGACCTATGACACACTGTGCAGCATAGACATAAGGGGACGAGAAAGGGCAGAAAGAATATTTGAAGAAATGATGGCTCAAAAATTTGCATATTTGATGACAAATACTAATCTATACATCAGTAAAGCTCAACAAACTACCAGTAGGATAAAGTCAAAGAGATCCATATACCTAGACACATCATAATCAAAGTCTCAGAAGACAAAGGGAGAATTTTGAAAGCAAGACACAAGTGACTCCTCACATACAAGGGAATATACTTTGAGATGAATGAAAACAAGTACACAACACCAGAAACACTAAAACAGAACATACCAAAACTTATGATGGAGTCAAAGTAGTGACCAGAGGGAAATTAATAACTGTGATTTGCCTACATTAAAAAGAGTGAAAAGACAACCCTCACAGTGGGAGAAAATATCTGCAACTCATGGATCTGATGAGGGACTTGTATTTAAAATACACAAATAACTCGAAACTCAGTAAAAAGACAACCTAATTTCAAACTGGGCAAAGGATCTGAACAGACATTTTTCCAAGGAAGATATGCAAATGGCCAATGCTCAACATCACTAACCATTAGGGAAATGCAAATGAAAACAACTGAGATACCACTTCACACCCAAAAGGGTGGCTAGAAGAGTCAGATAATAATAAGTGTTAGCAAGGATGTGGAGAAATTGGAACACTCATATACTCATACTGCTGGCAGGAATGTAAAACTGGTGCAGCTACTGTGGGAAATGGTCTGGCAATTCCTCAAATGGTTAAGCGGAGTTACCAGCAGTTCCACATCTAGGTATGTACCCAAAAAAAGTTAAAACGTGTCTACACAAAACCTTATATACAGATGTTGATAGCAGCGTTGTTCGTAAGAGTCAAAAAGTGGAAACAACCTAAATGTCCTCCAACTGATTAATGAATAAACAAAATGTGGTTAACCATACAATGGAATATTATTCAGCCACAAAAGTAAAGAACTGACACATGAGGATATTAGGCTAAGTGAAATAAGCCAGTCACAAAAAGACAAATACTATATGATTCCATTTATATGAGGCATCTAAAGTAGTCTATAGAAACAGAGTAGGGTGATAGTTGGCAGGGGTTTGGGGGAGGGGGAAATGGGAGTTCAATGGGTATAGT